TGGTTTTTGGGGTTTTTTTTTTACATATATTGTTTTTAAAAAACATGTTATCAGGGCCAGGGATGTGGCTCAGTGGCAGCATGCCTGCCTGGCAAGGACAAGGTCCTGGAATTCGATCCCCAGTACAGGAACATGTTATCAGGGCTGGAAGTACAGCTCAATGGTAGAGTGCATGTGTAAGGTCCTGGGTTCAATCCTCAGCATCGGAAAAAAAAAAAAAAAAAAGCATGTTATCAACACTCTGAAAGTTGGGGGAAAGCTATTATTCCTTTCTTTCTGTGGTCAACTACAGTGGATTGCAATTCAAAAGTGATTTTTGGAGCTGGGTATGGTGGCACACATCTGTAATCCCAGCACCTGGGAGGCTGAGGTAGAAGGATCAGTTCGAGTTCCAGGCCAGCCTGGACTACACAGTGAGTCCCTGTGTCCAAAAAAAAGAAAAAGAAAAAGAAAAGAAAACAAAACAAAAACAAACGAAATCACAAAAAATGGTTTTTGACACTTTGAAGCCTCAAACATCCCTCAATACAAAAGTAGGGCAGTATGAACACCTAATTTACAACAACTTGCAATGTGATTATAAAATAAAATGTTTAAAACATCAGCTTACAAGCCTTTATGATTTGTTTTTAGAGTTCTATTGATGTGATTGCTCAAGTTAAATGAAAGTAATACAGGTAAAGGAAAGTTAACTAGATTAACACCCTAATGACCAGAACAGGCTTCAAATATTTGCCTGTTCCCATCTTCTAAAGCCCTGCCTGCACTGCTGAAATGTGAGCAGATGATAGCCTATAGGGGGTGCTCCAAAGCCTGTGATTTGATGAAAAGGAATATTCTATCAGATCAAACCCTTAGCTAATGACTGCACTACAGGGAGAAAAAAAGAGGAGCACCACAGCAGCACTATGAGTACCCACCATGCCTTTCTTTGCCCAGAATCTTTTTAATGCCAACACACAAGCTTTCTGTTCCATTAGTAAGAGACATGGACTCAGTTGTCCACGACAAAGTAACCTGAGAGTTTAGAGTGCTATTCTCAAAAAATTAAAAACTGCTAAAAAAAAAAAAAAAAAGGTGGGCATGGTGGTGCATACATACCCATAATTAATTCCAGCACTCTGGGAGCCTGAGGCAAAGGGATCAAAGTTTGAGCCAAAACTGAGCAACCTAGTGACTTTGACCTTGTCTCCAAAAAAAAAAAAACCATGGAGCTACATAGCTCAGTATGAAGGGCCTATGTTTAAGCCCCAGTACCACCCCCACCCCTCAAAAAAAAGTGGTGCATATAACGATGTAAATTAGGATGTGGGATGCAAAGAACTCCAGGTGCTCAACAGATTCCAAGGCATTAGTAAAAATTCCCATACCTGAAACCTCATTCCTCAGCAAACTGCTCAGGCCAAGGAAGTTGTGATGCAAAACCAGTAGGAAGAGAACAACAGCCAGAACCAGGATGACAATGTTTACTGAAACAGACAGGAAAAACATGCATTATCTCTCTTTACTTTTGACTAGGTATAAAAATAACATAACTTACAGAGAGAACATACCTTTACGGAATGACATCTTTTTCTTCTGTCTTATATAAATATTAGTTATTAACCCTATAAAACAAAATCAAGTCCCCAAAGTTAGTAAAGTAACTACATGACAATGGCCATCAAAATGCCTAGATACTTTTGTTCAGGTAGGAAAAGCTTGTAACTTGTAGGAGAAACTTGTAACTTGGAAAAATATGTACCCTTTCTACCTTCGTACATTGTATGTTTCAAGATCAAATTAGACACTGATTCAACTGTCTATGATGAAGTAAATTAAGGATTTAGAATGCTATTCTCAAAAATTAAAAATCTGCTAAAGTTAAAAAAAAAGAGCTTCTGAAGCTCTACCTCTGTTGGTTAACTACCATCTATTAAGAACGGTGTCCAACATGGTCCATGTGCTCTCTAGCTGCCACATCTGACACCTTCACTTTCTCAGAACAAACAATTGCATGGAAACAAGACTGTAGTGTAACTAAATTTATCAAGCAATTAAATTTTTACAGCAATCACTGGGAAATGTTTCTTTAAAGACAGATTTCATGCAACCATGATTATAGGATTGTACATTTGAGAACTTCAGCCCTTTTTAAGCTTTATCTTCTCCTATAGTATCACCTTTTACATAAGGCAACTTATTTTCCAAAGCACTTTTAAATATATTTCTAAGAATCAAAGTTACTTTGTTGGGTTTTTGGGGGTGTTTTGTTTTGAGACAGGGTTTTGCTGTGTAGTTCAGGCTGGCCTTAAAATCACTACATAGCCTCAAACTTGTGCCAATCTTCCTACCTCAGCCTCCAAAAGTGTGCCACCATGCTCAGCCCAAAGCAACTTTGAGTTAATTTCATTCTAGGTAAACTGTGTGCCATCAGGCACTTGATTTCTCAAGGCCTTTGAAAAGAGGGAAATATATTGAGCTGTTTCAAAACTGGGGATTATGGGCCAGATTACAAATCTGGGTTAAAGTAAATCAGATAATCTAAAGCACACACACTCATTCCTTTCTAGAGCAGTGTATATGAAGTACACTGTATTAATGAACTTCCTCTCTAAAGAATACACATTATATTCCTTATGCTATATGTCTATCACATTGTGGGCTAAACCTTACCTATAGAAGCTGGAAGATTAGGAGCTGCTCAGACAAAAGCCCTAACATCTGGTTGCTTTGAGCCAACTTCTACTATAACTGGACACACATACACAAAGACAAAATCTCATTCTAATAAATCCCAAATAATTATTGATACAAACAATGTTTTAGCCCATCAACTTCAAATAACGGTTACTTACAGACAGTAATATACCTGGATCAATATACATGTATTTGTGCTGGACACAAGAAAAACATAATTCCAGCAAGTATTCAATGTATGTAAGTAAATTAGCATGGCAGAAACCACTTATTCCTGAAACTCTTACACCTGCAAAATGCCAGTTATTATAGAGTATGTCTGATCTATATTTCCTTTCCTGGTAGTGAAACTTCCTTGATCTGTCCTTGATCTGTTTAGAAGGAATCCTCAAAACAAAACTGCAAGTAGACTCTGGCTATGTAATAGAAGTGTATTTTTGTAAGAATATGCAACTATACCATTTGATCAGGAATCTTACATTGTTCATTAAAAAACATATTCACGCTGGGGATTTAGCTCAGTGGCATCACACCTGCCTGGCAAGTGCAAGGTCCTGAGTTTGATCCCCAGTACCAAAAAAAAAGAAATTATAAAACCTTCACATTCCCAAATTACTCTTAAAAATAAAACATCCCCTTTAATACCCCCTCCACACACACACACACACACACACACAAAATCAAAGGTGGGCATACCCATTAATATGAAAGAAACTTCAGGGGAAAAAAACCTGTTACTTTTTTTTTCCTTTTTACTTGTTAGTTACCTACATTTATACATATATATATATATATATATATATATATATACTCTCAGCATCTGTGCCTGCTTCTTGTTTTCCCTCTTGTGACTATGGGCCACATACTTCCATGAAAGGCCACTCCACTGGTGCTCTGGATACTAACTGCTAATTGTTTTCTTGCTGTAGCACCATCAACTTTTCTTACTCTGTAGTGGGTCACATCCATCAACATGTTCTAGTGACTTCTTGTCAATTTGTTTTAAAGACACTGCTCGGCCCACTCCACCCCAGCTGACCCCAAGCCCATTTCTCTGCTACTCTTCACTCTTTTTGGAGACAGGGTCTCGCTTTGTAGTTCAGGCTGCCCTTAAACTATGTAGTTGAGGCTGGTCTTGAACTCACAGTGATCCTTCTGCCTCAGCCTCCCGAGTCCTGGGATTACAGGTGTGGGCCACCACACCTCTACGTGCACTGGGCTCCTTCTGAGGCCGGAAAAATGTCAAAGTGTTCTGCATTTTACTGAAAGGTGGAAAAACACTGAGTAGATCCAGTCACTTTCTCCTATTCCTTCCTACTTGTTTTTTAGGAGTCAGGGAGCCCTTTCAAGCCCCACGCTGAGCTGCGCCTCCCTAGGTCCCACCTTTCCTGCCGCCCCCCCCCCCATCCAACTGTCATGTAGTTCTGGTGTGATGTGTCAGTCTCCCTTGACATACTCTGGGCCAAGCCTGGACGCATTTGCTAGATGCGTGAATGCGGCGGCAGGCACACTCCTCCCTGCCCAGAGTGCCTAGAATCCTAGCATCTGTAGTTGACCCTGCACACGGAGCAGAGGCCAGACAGAGCCAGCTGGCCCCAAAGGGCAGGACTACCCAAGATCGTTTCCCTCTGAACGTGCGCGCCCCGCCTAGCTCGCTAACCGGGGAGGACCCAAGCTTTTGGGATATACACTAACTTTAGGGACTGGGGAACCCTTGGCTGGTCCCCATCGGGAGGCCCAGCCTGGGTCTGTGAGGGCCGGTGGAGCGGACAAACAGGTCGGTGGGCAGAGTTCGGGCATACGCGGTGTGAGGAGCGCCCGCGGACGCAGGTCTTCTCCCCGACAGCATTACCTTTCTCTGGGTCCCGCGGCCCGGGCTCCCCTAAATTCTAAGAGTCAGCAGGGCCCGCTTAGGAGTAACAGGGAGGTGGCGACGCCCCGCCCCCGGACCCCCCAGGCCTGGAAAGGCAGGGTTAAGGGTCGGCGTGCGAAGTCGTTCTGTCAGACGCTGGCCATCCTTACCTGCAGCGGAAGGAAGCCCGCCGCCGCCGCCCGCGCCCTGGCCCACCCCGCCAGCTCAGCGCCCGCGCCGCAGGCCCCGGGGCCCAGCCTGCCGCCGGGCAGCCCGCGTCCGGGGCACTCCGAGCCGCGCCCACTCGCCCGCTTCCCCGCGAGCTTCTCCGCAGCCTGGCAGTTCCGTACCACAACACCGAGCCCACCCGCGACTTTGGTGGCAGTAGAGCAACGGCTAGCAGGCGCCGCCGGGCAGCCCCACCACTGGGGTCCTACCGGAGAAAAGGCCGTCTCCATGGAGACGCGCCGCGCACCGGCACCCCTTAAGCCTCTGAGCTGAGACGATGAGCACTTTGCCTGGCCGGGGCCGCGGCTTCCGGAGACCATCGGCGCTGAGAGCGAACCCTTCACGGATGCGCGATGCCTTGGCTCGGTCGCCGCCTCAGCCCTCGCGAGTGGTGCGCCAGGCTAGAGCCAACTTCGAAACCACACGTCGCCTAGCGACGGCGCGAGGCGGGGCCACAGGCTGTCCGGGCCTTCCCGAGACTTCCGCTTCCGGGGCCTCGTCCATCTCAGAGCTTCAGCCGGCCCACCCCGCAACGTTTGGTGTCAGATTCGGGCTGCTGCGGTCCCTCACTATTGGCTTCTGTTGCTCCGCTATCTGGTGCCTCCGTTAATCATGCTGGAACACTTGAGTTCGCTGCCCACACAGATGGTGAGAGTGCGGCCCGGGCATCCCTGCAGCCTCGAAGCCCTAGTCGGCACCGATCCGGTGCTGCGCGGTTTCCAACCCGGAGGGTTGCAGTCCACTCTGTTTTCCGAATTGTGCATCTTGGGTCCTCATCTCTTCTCCTGAAAAGACCCTCTTGACCATGCTCCGTTAGGGTGCCCACGCTCCCCCAGGAAACCCAGAATTTGCATTTTTTACCCAGATCCCTGGGGTAGCCCTGGTGTTGTGTGCCAAGGCTGTGAGTTGCGTACGCTGGACCCCTTGGTAGCAGGACCAACCCCTGTCTTGTTCTCCTTCACCTCTAGGATTACAAGGGCCAGAAATTGGCTGAACAGATGTTTCAGGGGATTATTCTTTTTTCTGCAGTAAGTATTAATTTTACATTTAATTTCTTTTCTTTTTGCTGCTCATCTTGACTAATACACTTTTTTGTTCCTAGATAGTTGGATTTATCTATGGGTACGTGGCCGAACAGTTCGGGTGGACTGTCTACATAGTTATGGCTGGATTTGCTTTTTCCTGTTTGGTAAGAAATCTGTGGGTGCTGGGGTGTTAGTGGCAAGATGGGTTTTCTGATTGGGTTGCTTTGGTCGGACCTGGTCCCTTCCGCCACCCCCCACCAGTGTTTCTCTTAACTATGTTGTATAAGTAGAATGTCAAATAGTGTCTCTTGGTGTAAACTGTATGAAAATGTAGTTTATTTTGTTGGTAGCTACTGCAGGCAGTAAGGTCAAAACTGGCAGGAATTTTTCCCAGTGCTCACATTGCCTCCACCCTTTTTTCAGGTTAAAGCCTTATGTTAAACAATAAGGCTTGTTCCCACCACCCTGTAGTATGTTGTCTTCGGAGTGACAGAACTTTCATAGGAGTATCAGTTTTTGTTGATGCTGTTGTTAACCTTTAGCCTAGGAGTCATTTGGTAACCAGGCATTATACATAATGGTCTTTTAAACCTTTAACAGCTATAATTGACATATTTCTTTTTGCTCTTCTGGTTTAGCTGACACTTCCTCCATGGCCCATCTATCGCCGACATCCCCTCAAATGGCTACCTGTTCAAGAATCAGGCGCAGAAGACAAGAAACCAGGGGACAGAAAAATTAAGAGGCATGCTAAAAATAATTGATTGGTGTTTTCATGGTTCAACACCTGCTTTTGTTTCCTGTGAGATGAGCTAAATTGCTTTCATACCCAAAACATGAGCTAAAAGCACCTATGCTCTTAAACAGCACAGCTATGTATAGACTTAATTCTTTACGTTTCATTTCCAACCCAGCTTTGACCTAAAAATATCTGAGACCCTGTCTTGGTAATCTTGTTCTAAAATGAAGAACAGAAAACACAAATGTGCAGTGTTTCTTTCAGGTATACATTAATAATGAATAAATGCCTCATAAAGATAATAGTTTATCAAAAGTTTTATAATTTATTATAGATCATTGAACTGTTTCAGTGTTTCAAAACAAAAAAAATTTAGTGCAAGTCTGGTCTAAAAGGTCTTTGTTGATTGTGGCCTTTTTTTTTTTTTTGAGACAGAGTCTCGCTATGGAGTTCTGGTTGGTCTTGAACCCAGTACGTAGCCCAGGCTCGCCTGGAACTCCCAGCAATCCTCCTGCCTCAGCCTTCCGAGTGCTGGGATTAGAAGAGTGCACGACCAAGCCCCACAGTTTTACAAGATTATTAGAAGTCAAAGTTAGGGGCCAGGAATTTAGCTCATTGGTGCTACCGCCTGCCTTGAAATTGCAAGGCCCTGAGTTTGATCCCCAGTACCAAAAAAAGAGTCAAAGTTAGAAGTTTGAGGTTTAAGGGGCTGGGGATGTAGCTCAGTGGACCTGTGCCTGCCTGACAAGTGCAAGGTCCTGAGTTCAATCCCTGGTTGTGGTGGGG